TTCCAACTGGGATCATGCTAAAAAAAATTATCAGATGATACAGCAGAAGCAGGGCTAATGGTGGTGGTGCATTGCAATTCAGGGTGCTCTTGTGCCCTGGGTCCTGGGCTATCTCCACCAGTTCCAGGTAGACACATCAAAAGATGTGCTATGCCCTTCAAAATAGAACTAGTTCATCATCCATGCCATCAATGATCCTAGAGGAGACATCCTAAGAATGTGAATGGAAATGCCAATTTGCAGACAATTTCTACCTTTTTCCTCTCTCCAGTACAGGCATACCTAGCCTAGCCTAAGATGTTAAATGGCTTCAAGAAAATATGTTAAGAGAAAACGCTGCAGAGAAAACGTTGTCAGTTCCTTGGGAGTGGTGGGGAAGAAAACTGTGATTTTGTTATAGGGAAATCCAGAAAGAAGACTCCCCTAACAGCCTTTCAATTTATACTCAGAAATTGCCTTGGGGCACCAAGAATTACACAGCCAGTATATGTCAGACGCAGGACATGAACCCAGTTCTTCCTGACTCCCACGACAGAACTCTTAACCACTAACCCTTATGTTGCCTCTTATTTCCTTTTGTTGTTGTCTTTCAGTCACTTCTCAGTTGTGTCTGACTCTTCATGACCCCATTTGGGGTTTTCTTGGCAATGATACTGGAGTGGTTTGTCATTTCCTTCTCCAGCTCATATTACCGATGAGGAAACTGAGGCAAACAGGGTTAAGTGACTTGCCCAATGAGTGTCATATAGCTAGTTAAGCATCTGGGATGTGAACTCAGGTTTTCCTGACTCCCAGCTTGGTGCTCTATCCATTGTGCCTTTATTTCCACACAATATTATAAATGAGTGATTGCAAATGAGCTACTTATCAATCAACAGCCATTTATCAAGCCTAATACTATGTGCCAGGCCTTGGGCTAAGCACTGGTGATATTAAGGCAAAACCCCAAAAAGAAGCTTGCATACCAGTGCAAAAGATAGCACTGAGTGTGTGCTCTCATGCACGTACACGTACACACACACATACACAGAGTGGAAGGACCTTTGTAGAAGGTGACCTTTGAACAGAGTCTTGCAGGCATATGAAGAGGTAGGGGTAAGGACTCTTTCAATTTTACAATGAAGTGTGGTTAAAATATACCAATACTATTGTAAAATGTTATTGATTGGAAAAGAGTCTGTCAACTTAACACCTCCAGCTCCCGGTAAAGAAGAAAAATGGAACCTACTATAACGGTGTTTGAAGCATTTGTGTTTGCGCTTGTTCCCTCCCCTCTTGCCTTCCCACACGTACCAAGCTTGTCATGTCTTTATACTTCCATGTTTTTATTTATAAATTAATAATACAACAAATTTGCTATAGGGTAACTGTGAAGGAAAAAGCAAAAGCTGTAAATTACTCTCAAGTACAAATGCTGGACGTGTAGTAAGGGAAGAAGACCTGAGTTCAAGTCTTACTTGCAATATGCTGTTTGACTATGGGCAAGTCACTTAACTTCTCAGTACCTAGTAACTTATTTCCCTTTGGTTCATCTTAATCTCTATCAACGAAAGGAATTTTACCAACTATGCCAATGAAATAGAATCAAAGCAGACAAGCTTTAGATTTGGAAGAGACCTCTCACTGAGTCTGTGAGAAGTTAAATGATTTGCCAAGGCCACACAGGTAACAAATAGCAAAGCTGGGATTAAAACCCAGTTTTCTACCTCTACATTCATTTCCACAAGATTTTGAGTTCCAGTTTTCTAACTCTAAATCCAATACTTTAAGGACCACAAAGAAGTTGGATATTTTGCTGTAATTCAGTTTGCAGTTTTTTCTAGTTTTAAAGAACTATAATGTAACTTAACTAGTAAACCGAGGGCAGATTTAGTTCTATTTTATTAAGTTTATTAAGCTGGCACTCTGTGAATCTTTATCATGATAAATATACTAATATCAGTAATGAATAAGGATCTTCTAAATAAATATTTAGAGGTAGGTATTTATTTAAACAGGAAAAAGGTCTGATGAAAACTGGGTGTGAATAGAGCACTAGGTAGACTCCCAGAATTTTAAACAGGCATCCCTTTCCTTCACAGGAAGACATGGATATGGAGGAATGTAACACAAGGTGGGAAGGCATGTATGGATTGTAATCTCTATCTTTGGAAGGAAAATGTATGCCATGAAATCCCACGTCCACTGGAGTAATGATAATTCAATATGGCCTAAGCAATTTTCTCCTACCTAGAGAACTTATACTGATTTTTAACTGAAAATGAGTCAGTAAATTAGTGAACGAATGTACACTAATGTACATAAACAAAAACAAACCACTTTTACTTTGGGGGCTGGGGGGAAATAACTCCTTAATGGTTTTGTTCATTAATACTAAGAAAATTTTTAGTAAAAAGAATAACTTAAAGGTCTGTATCCCAAAAAGATCAAAGAAGGAAGAAAAGGACCTACACGTACAAAACTATTTATAGTAGTTCTTTTCTAGGTGGCAAAGAATTAGAAACTGAGAGGGTGCCCATCAACAAGATATGGCATATGTATGTGATAGAATACTGCTGTGCTATAAGAAATGATGAAGGGGATGGTTTCAGAAAATCTGGGGAGACTTATTTGGGGCAGCTAGGTGGCGTAGTGGATAGAGCACCAGCCCTGGATTCAGGAGGACCCGAGTTCAAATCCTGCTTCAAACACATAACATTTAACTAGCTGTGTGACCCTGGGCAAGTCACTTAACTCCACTGCCTAGCCAAAAAAAAATTTGTATGAACTGATGCACAGTGAACTGAGCAGAACCAGGATAACAATTTATACAATAACAATTCATACAATGTTGTAAAGAAACAACTTTGAAAGGCTTAGAAAATGAATAACATAATGACCAACTTCAGTACAGGATGAAACATACTATGTACCTCCAGATGGAAAGATGATGGACTCAGAGTGCAAACTGAAGCATACATATATACACATTTATATATATATATATATATACACATACACACATATATACACATTTGTATATATATACACATATATACACATTTGTGTATATACACACAAATGTGTATATATTTGACAATGCTAATGTGGAAACTTGTTTTGCTTAATTATACATATTCATAATGTTTGTTTTCCTTGCTTTCTAAATGGGTGGGGGAGAGAATTCAGAGTTGAAAATAAAACTGAATTAAAATAAAATGTATAACAGAAACACAAAATCACAGACCTCTTGGAAAAATGATAATACAACTTAACCAATTTTCTCTTACTTGGAGAACTTGTACAAGTTCTTAATTGGAAACGATTATGTGAATTAATGAATATATCTATTTCTAAAGTGGGTAAACAAAAACTAACCACTTCTACTTTCTGGTGGGTAAGAGAAGGAGAATCAACCTCCTGATTGTTTCTGTTCATCAATATTAGGGATATTTTTTAATAAAAAATAGTTTTAAAAAATTTTAGTAAAATAATAGTTTAACACAAACAAGTCCCCCCTCCTTTTTTTTTTTAACAGAATAGACAAAGTAGGTGGCAACCTTTTCCCTCTAAATAAGAAACTCTTAGTTCACTTGCTTTCAAAATATTTTGATTAATCGTACTCAGTCAAAGGATATTTCCTAGGAGCCCACTATGTAGAAAAATATTGTGAAAAGTACTGGGGATATCCCTTGCCCTAAAGGTAACTTAGTCTAATGGTAGAGAAAACATGCCCAAGCCAATTATGCATAAACAAACTATATAAACAGGATAAATGGGAAATATATAAGAGGGAAGGCCCACCACTGGAGGAGGAAGAATCAAAACAATTAGTTACCTTTGTAATCTTATGTATTTTTATGCATTTAAAAATATTATTCTGAAAAGGGGTCTACAGGCTTCTCCAGAATGACAAAGGGGTCCACGACACAAAAATGGCTAAGAACCCCTGTCAAACAGATAAATACTCTACTGTAAATCTTTTCAGTTCAAGGAGAGCTAACAAAAATTGATTTTGGAAAAATCAGAAAACAAACCAACCCCCAAACGAGGTGGTTTCGAGGCTCTGTTAAAACCACATCACAAGGACACGAACGGGCGGAAACCCCAACTTGTTCTCCCACGGAAGGCACGAGGCCGGTCCTGCAGGGAGGACTAAAGGAAGCGGCAGCCCTCGTGATGGGAAATGCGGCTGCCGTCGGGATCCGCCCGGGCCCAGGGCCCTTCCGTGGGAGAGGGTCTAGACACGACCAGGGCCCGGTAGGCTCTGCCCATCAGGGGCGCAAGCGCGCTCTCACGGTCCAGTCCCCCCCGGCTCGGAGCCCGGACCCCGGACCCCGGGGTGCTGGGCCTACCGGGCGCCGCCGCAAAGCCCGCCGGGAAACAGGGAGGGGGAAGGGAGAGTGGGGGTGGGGAAGGGCAGGGTCTCTGGGACCTCGAGATCTCCGGCAATGGCACGCCTCACTGTGCGCTCGGACCAGGCCCAATGCGTCAGCCGTACGTCCACAGCAGGCCCCAGCTCCCCAGGGACTGCTCCATCGCGTCCCTGTGGGGGGGGTCAAAAGTCGTCAGGAAAACAAACAACCAAACTCGAGGCCCTACGGCGGAGGGCTAGGTGCCGGCCTCTTTCTTAGGACTACATAATCCCTCCGCCGCGGGCAGCTCAGCGGCTCTAATCACCCTCCGCGCCACCCGCCTCCTCGGCCGCTTTAGCGTTATTTCCAGCAGATTCCGGCGACGTGACTCTCTCCTAGCCGGAACGCCCACACAGGGCGTCGGACTCTTCCACCGCCGGCTCCACCCCCAAGCGCAGCCCCGCCGGAAGTGCTCTAGTGATCTCTCCTTGCTTCTGCCCCGTCCCCCCTGCGGCTGGGCTGGCTGGGACCGGAACGAAAGTTCGTGAGTGTGGGAGGGATGAAGGGGAAGCATTTGCAGGGGACACGAGCAGGAAGAAGCTCTGCTCCTGGAGGAGGAGCGGCCCAGGGGAAGAAACGTGAGTTGAACGTTTCATGAGGCCGCGCGACGCTCGAGCTGGAGGCAGAGCCGGAGCCGGAGCCGGCGTGGGAATGGTCCCGGTGCGCGCTGGGCGGGCACGAGCATCAGGTGAGGGGACTGGAGGGGGCTGTTTGCCCCTGTTGGGATGGGTGGTGAGGGGAAGGCGGGGGTGGGGTGGGAGGGGGGCTCCTGAGCGTGTCGTGGGTCGCGCGATCGGCTGGAGGCTGGGCTGAGGAGGGGCCGAGGGAGGCTCAGGTGGGGCGCAGGGATTAGCTTGGGATACCAGAGGTAAAGCCTGAAGAGAAACCAGAGTTGTGTCTCTCCCCGAGGCGGGTAGTGCCTCCGCCCCCTCCCCCACCCAGGTTCCCCGTGGGCTCCATCTCGGCCGTGGGAGGTGGGGCGTGTTCGTGGGCTGGGGGCTCTGCTCTGGACTCACCTCCGTTCTGTGGCTTCCCCATCCAGATCTGGTGCCGGAACAGATTCGTCCCCAGTGCCCCAGAGGGTTGGTCTATGGGACCAGATGGGATGACACTACGTGCCCCCTGCGGGGGTGGGGGGCAGTGATTCGAGCTGGGTCTTGTCAGCCTGTTCTGGACGTTGCGGGGAAACTAAGCTTGGGGGCCGGCTTAGTCCACCTCTCCTTTGGTGATTCGATCAATTTGCATTAAGCGATGCAGTCATTTCATTCAGCCTGGGCTTAGACGCGGATAAAAACCAACTGATATGATTGCTGCCTTCCTAGGTGATAAATAAACTGCCTGCCCAGCTCTACCGAGGGTGTTTCTTAAAAATATCTTAAGTATTAACTCTAATTGTTCTCAGATACTCGGGTTCTTCATTTCAGGATGTGCAGTAGACTGGCTTTTAGTAATTCAGCCTGTTATTAGTTTAACTTACTTTTATAAGGGGGAGGAGGCTCTCCAAGAAAAATAAAGGTCCATTTGTTTAGATTTAGTGATAAATTGACTTTTACAACAAAGAAGGCATTCTTTCAAGGTAGACAGAGGACGATTTTCCTTAAGACTGAATGTCTAAGGATAAGTCTTCTTTGTGAATTGTAACTCAATTTGAGTACCTTCCAGAAATTTACTTTTTCTCCATAAGTTGAGGATATGAATTATCTATATAGAAACATAGCAAGGAAATATATTGAACTGATATGCCCTGCTTAATATTGAGATGAGTGGAGGGAGGTGTCATTTAGACTTGGATTAAGGCCAAAGTAATTTCCTTAAGTGTCCGAGATAATGTCGAAGATGTGGGTTGAAATTCACTTTGATATTGAATTATTTTAGAACATATACTTCTGAAATCCTTTCTACCTATGGGATTTTGAGGACACCACTGGAACAGTGCTTTTCAGAGTTTGAGAACTGCTAAGGATACTCCTTAGGGTTCCCTGGCTTGTTACCTGTATAAAATAATGTATCATGTGTATTTCTGTTTCTCAAATAATTTACATAGGTTACTTAACAACAACAAAAACAAAACTAAATATTTCATTCCTGTCTCAGAAAAACAATGTTATTAAACTGAAGGAAGTCTTAGGACAAATAAGGTGGGGGGAGCTGGTACTTTGGATCCCCCCCATCCAAAAATTGAAAATAATTATAGGATAATTTTAAAACATGTTCCCAGCATACTCATTTCAATTTGTTACTAGAATTAAACAATGGCTATCTTCAAACTCCATTCAGTATAGCAAGCTGACTAAATGCTGAAGCTTTAAAAAGATTAAGTACTATTTAAGATGTATGCTGTCGGAACTGATCCTGAGAGGAAGGGGAGAACTTGCCCCAGTCCCACAACAAAAAATTTGTGTAACTATTATGACAAGTGAATGTAAAAGATATGTGTCAGTTTTAATACAACATTTTTTTTTCAAATTGTGATTTGGATAATAATTTCACAGACATTTTATCTCAAGATATTACTTAATTTTCAACATATACTTAACGCATACTTTTTCTAAAATAAAGTGGCTTTTCTGAAAGTTAATTGGATTTTGACTTAACTGCCTGTTGACTTTTTTTTTTCCAGGGTTCATTGAAAAATCCTTAGTGATATTGACTAAGAACATATTGACAAGTTACATAATTTAGCCAATGACTCGGAATGATGGATTCCCAGAAGATTGGAAATGGTTTGCCAGTGATTGGACAAGACACTGGTATAGGGATATCTTCACTCCACATGGTGGGGTATTTGGGAAAAGTCAGTGAGCTTGTTTTCCACTCTGTGCAAAGTTGTTTTTTTTTTCTGTTTTTGATCCATTAACTAATTTGGTTTTTATTTTTACCAAATAACTTTTTTTTATATAAATAATACTTTCCACGGAAATCTTACAGCAATGGCGAAAGATTATTTTCATATATTTACCTCTTTCATTGATATAAGAAAGTGTTTATTTTAGCCTCACAAAACTTATGGTTTACCTTAAAAGTCATGGAATCTGTTCATTGTTGATACCACTTTTTCTTTGCAAATAAAAATGATGCAGTTTTAATACAGAAACCTTTTAAAACTACAATGACATTCTTTTTTGACCAACAACTTAAATTTTAAATTCCTTATATGTATTTATTTGCCATGTTAAAAAACGATTGTTAGTGTAACTGCTAGTATGAGAATTGAAAAGATTTTCTAATGTATTTCCGCTTCTTTCTTTGATACTAAATGGGAATACATACATTTTACATTGTTTTCTTTCTTTCTCAGAAATGTGATTCAGCTAACGTTACATCAGATGGGTACTGTCCAGCCTGTAGAGATAAGGGAAAGACCAAAACTTTAAAGTCTTATCGAATCAGTTTTCAAGAATCTATCTCTTTGTGTGAAGATCCACAGGTAACGAATTAATTTTTAGAATTTTGCTAAATAGAACTCTTGTATTTGGAAGCAACAGGTAACCTACATTCTTTGAACTTTTTGTTAACTAATCAGTCAACATTATTAAGGCCTACTGTGTCCCAGGTGTTGTACTACTTAACAAGGGATACAAAGATACTAATGAAGTAACTTTTATAAGTGATTTTGACAGTAATTCATAAGTTTTTGAATGACTTTCAGGAGTATCCATGAAAGTATATTATAGTAATTTATTCCTATGTAGTTCACCAAGTCATGGACAAATGTTTCTAGTTCTCCAGTGAAGGGAAGAAAAAACCAACGTGTTTTCTGTCAAGTGATAATAATGTTTATACACTTATATTCCAGAAACTCTCCTAATAAACTGGATGAAAGAGAATTCCTAAGATAGTGAACCTATGGAAGAGAAAAATAAATCTTTTCGTTTTTGCAAATATATTTCAGTTTTTCATTCTAGTTTAATTTTATTCTGAATCGTGTTATTTTTTTGTCAACTGTGTTCCACACATTTTAAGAGCAGTAAGTCTTTTCTGAGGAATTATTTGAAATAATTTTATTCATGTTGTATTGAGATTGTATTAACGCACTATAAAAATTGATAAGAACATGTTAAAATTGAACAAAATTATTCACTTTATCAAGATAGAAAATAAGTAAAATATCTTTGAAGGCAATGGAAAAATAGCTGATGTGAGTATGGATCAGCCAAAGCATGTAACCAGAGTTAATCTGTGCTCCAGATATGGTGTAAAAGACATGTATGACCAGAAGGGGAGTTGGTCTGGTTATCTATTAAGAATGAGACACAAATAGGCAGCTTAAGTATAGTTAGTACCCCGAGATAGTAAAAGAGCAAGATGAAGGCCTCTGGCACAATTTTTAATGGTAAAAGCACAGATAAGAATCCCTGAGAGGGAGAATGAACTCTTTATCACTGTGAGTACTTATATTGAAGAAATGAAGATTTACTATGCTTTTTCTTCTTGTGGAGTACTCTTGGTCTTCAAATTTTTTAGTTTCTTTAGTCCCCTCTCCTGTCCCCCAAGATTATAACACTGTTCTATAAGGTTTTTTTAAAAAAAAATTAAAATTGTTGATTGCTTTTTGCATTATCTTTATATTAGCTATTTAAAGCAGGAAATTATGTGCTTTTCCTTCTCTGTATTGCTGAATAAAACTACAGTTAAGACAATTAAGCTTTGTAACTGTTTGCTTTGCAATTTTTACCTTTTTTGATTCTCTTTTCCCTCTTAGTGCATCTATCCATTGGGCTATAAGTCACTAGATAATATTATAGTTTCTGTTGATTTGGAAAATTATCAGCCTCCCCGTAAACAGCTGAAGAGGAAGATCTTGGAAAGCAGCAATGTTGCTTCATCTTTGGAACCAAATTTAAAGGAAGATGGCAGCAACACTTTGTTCGACAGCAAGCGTACTGTGAACAGTGAGCTTGCTCACAGACCTGATGGATATAATTTGTATAGAACTTCATCAGATTTATCTGTTGTGTTACAAGACTGGCAACAGAACCCAAGCAAGGCAGCTGAATCTTTGCAGCATAATGGGATTTTGGAAGCTGAAATTGCAGACCAGACTGCTGAAGAACATCCTTTGATGGTTGGCTCTCAGACTGAGAGTATTCCAAAACCTGAAGTGGATGCAACTAAATTAGAAATCCTACTGGAAAATCAATGCCTGCCATTTACTGAATCTCCATGTCTTCAGTGGAGAAATGCATATGCTCTTTGTTGGTTAGATTGTATTCTTTCAGCATTAGTGCACTTGGAAGGGTTAAAGAGAGCTGTGACTGAACTATGTCTTAAAGAAGAATCTGTGTTCCAGCAGTTGTATGCAAAGTATAATCAAGCAAGCCTGCTTTTGACTGCTCATCATTTCAATGGAGCTAAAGGTTGGTAACTGTATTCTTTGTTTTGTTTTTAAGTTATCAGAATATTGATGATGGTTCCATAGGCTTTGGAGAAGAGTAAGCATACCAGTTACCACAAATTTAACACTGATAGGCCTTTTCTTTTTCTTGGATATCAATTTCTTTTTCACAGTATTTGTTCTGTCCTTTGAGGTTTGTTTGTTTTTCTTGGTGATAAAGATAGAAGAAGAAAAAGGAGTTGAGTAATTGTAACTTTTTTTGTCTTTTGTTAATATTATACCATCTTTCTTAATCACTGGTCCTACTTTTTCCTTTCATTTTCATATCTTGAATATTGTTTTTTAAAGCCCTTTTGTTACAGGCTTTTGCTTACCCTATATCAGTTTTGCTGACACTTTTTTTTTTTTGTATTTGTCCTTGTTTATATGTCCTTCCTTTGTTTTTGGTGATAATAACTGACATTTATATGGTATTTCAATAATTGCTTTCCTCACAAGAAACATGGGAAACAGATCGGGCAAGTATTCTTGGCATTTTATGTAAGAGTAAACTAAAGTTTGGAGAAGTTATAACTCATTTTTGTTCATATGGTGAATAAATGGCAAAGCCAGTGTTCTAGGAAACTCCAAAAGTCCAGGATTCAGTATTCTTTCCCCTACTCCAAAATGCTTGCCTTTTAAAAATCTTGAGTTCATCAATGAGCTTCTCTACCTAGTCAGTTGATTTCTTTAGATTCCTCCCTCATTTATTCCTGATTGGCATTATTTGAAATTGTTAGAGTTAAAATTGCACTTTTAAGAACCTTTATGCTCTCCTCCTCCCAAAAAGGATTCTTTTAGGATCTTTGTTCATGTGATCCTTAACTTTTCTATGAACTCAGAGAAAACTCTACATTTTCTGAGTCTACCAACATCATGCATCTCTTCCTATTAGAAGCAATAACAGTATTCTTTCCCTTTGCCCTAGTACTGCTCTGTCTTCTTTATTTAGTCTTTGCCTTGAGAGTGGGTGGCAGCTGCTTTTTAAGAAGGTTTGGCTGCAGGGTGCAATAACAGTATTCCTTATTTTTACTCTAGTACTGTTCTGTTTTCTTTTTTTAAATTTTAAAAACATTTTTTACTGTTCTGTTTTCTTTAGTGTTTCCTTGAGTGTAAATGGCAGCTCTTTCTTTAGAAGGTATAGTTTCTTCCCTCTTCATTGAAATAATGTCATACTTGTTGCATAATTATACTGGAACAGAATTTTTTTTTTCTTTACAATTACATTCTTTCATTCACCAGCCTCTTTATGGTCACTTCCCCTTGACCCTTTGGAATCTTTCCTTGGCTTTTTTCTTGGGAAACTTTTTTTGTTTTTTATTTTTCCCCAGTTACATGTAAAAATAATTTTTAACATTTGTTTTCAAAACTTTGAGTTCCAAATTCTCCCCCGTCTTCCCTCCTCACCATCCCACCTCCCACCTCCATTGAGAAGGCAAGCAATTCGATATAGGTTATGTATGTGTAGTCATGCAAAACGTTAACATGATAGCCATGTTGCGAAAGAAAACAGATTAAAGGGAAAGAAAAAAAAAACTCAAGAAAAATAAAGTAAAAAAGTATGCTTCAGTCTATATTCAGATACCATTACTTCTTTCTCTGGGAATGGATAGCATTTTTCATCACAAGTCCTTCAGAGTTGTCTCAGATCCTTGTATTGCTGAGAATGGCCAGGTCTTACACTATTGCTGTTACTTTGTACACAGTACATTTCACATTGCATCAGCTCGTGGAAGTCTTTTCAGGTTTTTCTGAAGGCATTCTGCTCATCATTTCTTATAGGACAATAGTATTTCCCCATTGATGGGTGTCTCCTCAGTTTCCATTTCTTTGCCTCCAAAAAAGAGCTGCTATAAATATTTTTGTACATATATTTCCTTGGCTTTCTTTGTGTCTTTTTCCATTCTGTCTAGTTACTGTTAATCTTCTGCAGCAGGTGATAGTATAAAGCATTTCTCAAGCCATTTCACCTTGTACTATTAGCAGGAAAGCCAGCATGCATTTGCAGCCTGAGTTAACCATCTCAGGCAGGAAATGTGAGTAGCACATTCCCTGGAGGTCTCCAGAACAAATCCCTCAATGTCTATATTTCTCATGCCTTAAAATGAAGGTAGTTCCTTTGGGATTTCCCTAGAAATTCCATCTGTGAACTGTTATAGAGGCAGAAACATTGTAATCTTGTGATTTCTGTTCTTGAAAAGTGCTGCTTACCGATTTTTATAAAATCTTAAGAATTGGAAGGGACTTGCTTAAAGCTTAGTGCTTGCTTAAATCATAAATCCATTTAACATTCCTGATAAAGTTAAGCATCATTGGACACTCCCTCCAGTGAGAAAGAATTTACTACTTCCTTAGGTAACCCTAACAATAAAAGCAATCCCCAAATGGAAGTTTTTCTTCATGTTAAACTAAAACCTATCTCTCCCTTTGACTTCTCATTCCAGGGCATGGAACTCCCCGCAGCATGGAAACAAACTTGGGGTTACTAGAAAACAAAGCCCCAACTTTCTAATGGGGCAGTTAGGTGGCATAATGGATAGAGTGCCAGGCCCAGAATTAGGAAGACTCCTTTTCCTGAGTTCCAATCTGGCCTCAGATACTAGCTGTGTGACCCTGAGCCAGTCACTTAACCCTGTTTGCCTCAGTTTCCTCACCTGCAAAATGAGCTGGAGAAGGAAATGGCAAATCACTGCAGGATCTTTGCCAAAACTCGTTTATACTCTTTAATTATTGCAGACCCTCTCTCCCAAGAGTTTTTGCTTATATCTATTGATACAGACCCACAAGGGGTCATGAAGAGTTGGGCACGACTGAAATGACTGAACAATAACAATAACTGAGATGTTAGAGCTAGATATATAGATTTAGGAGTTTTCTGCATAGAGATGTTCATTGAAACATTGGCAGTTGGTGAGATCACTAAGGGAGAATAGAGAGAAGAGAAGAGGGCCTGGGACAGTGACTTAAAGAGCAGATAAGTTTAAAGGCTAAGAGATAGCTAATAGTCCACCAGTGGAGACTGATAAGGAGCAGCCATAGAAGTAGGTTGAGAACCAGGAAAAAGTAGTGTCACGAAAACTCAGGGAAAAGGGAATCTAGGAGGAGTCATCAGCAGTGTCAAAACCTGTCAAGAAGAAGATGACCATTAAGGAAAGACAGTTGGGTATATCAGTGATCTGACTGATGAAATAAGTCAAATTGCAGAGGATTGGTAAGTGAGAGAATGAGCCGGAAGCAGATGGAGGTAGCTTGTTAAAGTCTTTCTAGGCAGTAAAAGGGAACAGAAATGTGGGATGATCACAGGAAAGGATAACAGAGTCAAGGGAAGTGGTTTTTTTAAAGCATGGGGGAGACAGTATTTTATAGGCAGCACAAAAAGTCAGGAAGACAGTAAAAGTGTGTGTGAGAGAGAGAGAGACAGACAGACAAACATAGGGAGGAGGAATAGGATATGTGTATCAAGCTTCTGGAGGCCATAAGAAAGGATAAAGGTCATGGGAACAAATAGGCAGTAAGTGGAAAAAGAGGATTGATTGGCTCTAGAGTCAGAAAATCTGACAAATCACTTAATGTCCTGGGAAGCTCAGTTTTCTCATTTGTAAAATGAGGTGGGTAGGACGAGCTTTTTCTGATGTCCCTTCCAGCTCTAGATCTGTGCTCTTAAGAGGGAAAAGCAGCCATCTTCCTCAGACTGGACAAAAGAGGAGAGAGCACAGGTGAAGCTATGAGATTGAGAGGAGGAGGAAAAAAGGGTTCTCCAGCAGATGGCCTCCATTTTATTTGTAAAGTAGGGGTGAGGTGGCCTGAGAGAGAGAAGGGAAAGGGTAGCGTAGAGAGACTTGAGGAAAGAGGAAAAGGTTTGAAACCAACTACTTCAGTCAGTAAGCATTTTTTAAAGAATACATTTTTTCCCAATTACATGTAAAAACAATTTTTAGCATTCTTTTTTTAAAATTTTGAGTACCAAATTCTTTCCTTCCCTCACCCTTTTCTGAGACAGTAAACAATTTGATATAGGTTATACATGTGCATGGTGTCCTGCAAGTAGTGTCATGCAGAACATTTCCATGTTAGTCGTGTTGTGAAGGAGAACACAGTAAAAAAAAAAAAATAGTATGCTTCAATCTGTATCCAGACTCAATCAGTTCTTTCTCTGGAAGTAGATAGCATTTTTCATCATGAGTCCTTTGGAATTGTCTTGAATCATTGTATTGGTGAGAATTCATTCACAGTTTGATTATTGTACAATATTACTGTTACTCTGTACAATGTTCTCCTGGTTCTGCTTACTTCACTTTGCATCAGTTCATGTAAGTTTTTCCAGCTTTTTCTGAAAGCATTCTTCTCATCATTTCTTATAGCACAATAGTATTCCATTACTACCATATACCACAACTTGTTCAGCCATTCCTCAATTGATAGATATCCCCTAATTTCCAATTCTTGGCCACTACAAAAAGAGCTGCTATAAATATTTTTGTATATATAGGTCCTTTTTTCTAATTTTTTTCCTCTTTGGGATACAGACCTAGTTGTGGTATAGCTGGGTCAAAGAGTATGCGCAGATTTATACCCCTTTGGGCATAGTTCCAAATTGCTCTGCAGATGGTTGGATCAGTTTACAACTCCAACAGTGCATTAGTGTCCCAATTTTCCCATATTCCCCTCAACATTTATCATTTTTCTTTGTTCTCATATTAGCCAATTCGAATAGATGTGTGGTGGTACCCTGTTTTAATGTGCATTTCTCTATTCATTAGTGACTTAGAGCATTTTTTCATGTGACTATAGATAGCTTTGATGTCTTCATCTGAAAACTGCCTCTTCATATCCTTTGACCATTTATGAATTGGGGAATGACTTACATTCTTATAATTTGATTCATTTTCTTTATATTTGAGAAATAAAACCTTTATCAAAGACATTTGCTATAAGACATTCCCCCCCTTCTCCTTTTCTTCTAATCTTGGCTGCATTGATTTT